CGTTTGTGTTACGATAATTTAATACCCCTTGAGGCTTTTTCGAAGGTTGATATTATCAAAACCTTCAAATTATTCGAGGGGCTGATTTTATCTAAGCCTTTTTTTGTTGTCTTTGCCGAGGGTAGCCTTATTTAATCGGTTTTTTCAAAGTATTAAAAGGCCCTTAACTTATGGCGGAAGTTGGACGTATCTGAATCGCATTATTTCGGTCGTAGCCTTTTTATATAACCGTAGTCTTTAATATGACCGTAGCCTTCGGGTGTGTCTCTTAGACTTGTTTCCCGATAACCTTTCGAACTTGTCCAAAAGGTTAGTCCCCGAGTATGATGGCCTTGGCCTTTGTGTCGGGGAATGCTTCTTTGAGGTCCTATAAATTCGAGTTTTAGATATTTGAATGTGTTGACCGTCGATAATAGTCCCCGAGTATTCGAGGTGTATTTGCGTTTTGGCCCTTGAGCCGTTTCTCACAAAATTACAAGTATGTAGCTCGTATAATAGTAAACTTCTTTGAGACACAAAATGTTTTGATATAGAAAGAATGCTTATTTGAATAATTTGATACATGCATACATGTTTTGCCATCGGGGCTCGACTATTCGATATGGACACGGTTCATCAGATCGTTTGGCCCATTACAAAGTTTTCCTATCGAGGACCTCTGCGGCATGAAGTATTTTCCTCAAAAATATAACCTCCGAAGGTGATGCCCCCCAGTATTCGAGGTTTATTGAAAAGAAGCCTTGGATACTGTTGAATTCTCCTTAGGTAGCACATAGTCATTGCCTCGTTAAAAACCTCGCCGAAAAAATCCATTTGGGATAAAATCCGATCTAAGGGAAAAAGAGTGCAACACGTGCTTTAAAACCTAAGGTCTTCATGTAGAAAAGTGCCCTCGATGTCTTCGATTGAACACCTGCAACGAGTTAGTCTTAAATTCAAATGGAAAAAGGAGAAGGTCATACCTTAGCAGTAATATCGTTTGAGTAACGATACATTCCAATTGTTTGACAATTGTTCCCCCCCCCCCATCGTGCCAAGTTCTTAAGATTCTTTACCGACAACCCCGATGACTTGGTATGGTCCTTCCCAATTTGGGCCTAGTTTCCCTTCATTTGGGTCTTGAGTATTAAGGGTGACTTTTCGTAGAGCTAAGTCTCTGATTCCGAAGTGCCGAAGGTTAGTCCTTCTATTATAATATCTCTCGATTCTTTGTTTTTGCGCCGCCATCCGAACAAGTGCAGCTTCTCGTTTTTCATCTAGTAGTTTGAGGCTAGTATTTATAGCCTCGTGATTTGAATCCTCCGATGAATGTCGAAATCTAGCGCTGGGTTCCCCGACCTCGACCAGAATCAAGGCCTCGTAGTCGTATACTAACAAGAACGGGTCGCCCCCGTGCTGGACATCGATGTTGTTCGATACGCCCAAAGAACCTCGGGTAGAACTTCTCTCCATTTTCCTTTTGCATCCTCTAACCTCTTCTTTATGTTTTGAATGATAGTTTTGTTTGTTGACTCGACCTGTCTGTTCCCGGTCAGATGATATACGTTGATAAAATCCTTTTTTATTTTGTGTGCTTCGAAGAACTCCGTTACCTTGCTGCTGATGATTGCTTGCCATTGTTGCATACGATTTCGGCAGGTATCCCGAATCGACACAAGATGTGGTCCCAAATCAAGTCAATAACTTCTTTTTCTCTGACCTTCTCGAATGCCTATGCTTCCACCCATTTAGAAAAGTAGTCAGTTATAAACAAAATGAATTTAGCTTTACCCGGGGTCGTTGGTTGGGGGCCGGCGATATCTATTCCCCATTTCATGAAAGGCCACGGAGACAAGACTGAGTGAAGTTGCTCTTTCGGCTGATGAATCATCGGTGCAAACCTTTGACATTTATCACATTTTTTAACAAACTACTTAGTGTCTTTTTCCATGCTATCCCAGTAATACCTTGCTCTAAAAAAATTATGAATCAACGATTCGGTGCCGGAGTGATTCCCACAAGTGCCTTCGTGGATTTCTCGTAGAACATAATCGGTGTCTCCCGGCCCTAAAGATACCGCCAATGGTCCATCGAACATCCTCCTATATAATGTTCCACATTCATCTAGTGTGAACCTAGCAGCCTTGGTTCGTAGAGCCCTCAGCTCTTTATGATCCGATGAGAGCTTTCCATTTTTCAAATATTCGATATACTTATTCCTCCAATCCTAAGTCAAACTTGTAGAATTTATCTCGGCATGACCCTCTTCGACCACAGATCTCGACGACGGTCCCCCGGACAATATCATCTTCTTCAACTGATGACCCCAAGTTAGCAAGTGCATCTGCCTCACTGTTTTGTTCTCAAGTCACATTATCTAGAGTCTACTCCTTGAAGCGGTGCAAGGTTACCTGTAACTTGTCCAAATATCTTTTCATCCTATCCTCTCAAATTTCGAAGCTTTTGTTTACTTGGTTCACCACCAACAAAGAATCGCACTTGGCCTCAACAACTTCGGTCCCCAAGCTTTTATCAAGCTCGAGACCTGCAATCATGGCCTCATACTCAGCCTCAATATTAGTCAACCTAGAAGTTTTAATAGATTGTCTAATTGTGCTACCTGTAGGTGGATTCAAAACGATACCAAGCCCGGACCCTTTCACATTCGAGGCACCGTCTGTGAAGAGGGTCTATACCCCCGATGGTGTACCCGATTTTAGCAGAAGTTCTTTCTCCACTTCGGGCATGAGGGTTGGTGTAAAATTAGCCATGAAGTCAGCTAAGATTTGAGACTTGACGGCCGTTCGGGGTAGATATTCGATATCGTACCCGCCAAGTTCGACGGACCATTTGGCCAATTGGCCTTATAACTCGGGCTTGTGCAAAACATTTTGGAAAGGGTACGTAGTTAACACACATATTGGTTGACACTGGAAATATGGCTTTAGCTTTCTAGATGCGCTTATTAGTGCAAGTGCTAATTTTTCTAAGTGCGGGTATCTAGTTTCAGCATCTTTTAAAGTCTGACTTACATAATAAATAGGGAATTGCATGCCTTGCTCTTCTCCAACTAATACCCCACTTATTGTTATCTCGGACCTGCCAAATATAAGTAAAGCTTTTAATTCCTCCAATGCTTGCTGGCATTTCGGGGTCCATACGAAATCCTTTTTCTTTTTGAGCAAGGAAAAGAACCTATGGCTTTGATTCGATGACCTCGAAATGAATCGACCCAAGGCGTCTATCCATCATGTTAACCTTTGTACGGCTTTCACGCTATCTACGATAGTGATATCTTCGATGGCCTCGGTCTTGTTGGGGTTGATTTGGATCCCTCGATTTGATACCATGAAACCGAGGAACTTGCCCAAGTCGACCCCGAAGGCATATTTTTTTGGGGTTAAGCTTCATGTTGTACTTCCTTAAGATCTTGAATGTTTCCTGCAAATGAGTTAAATGGTCCTCTGTACGCATGGACTCAACCAACATATCGTTAATGTAAACTTCCATTGATTTCCCTATCTGTTCCTCGAACATTCTGTTAACTAAGCGTTGGTATGTAGCTCCAGCATTTTTTAGCCCGAAGGGTAATACATTGTAATAATACATTCCAAACTTAGTGATAAACGAGGTCTTCTCCTGGTCCTCTGAGTTCATCTGAATTTGATTGTACCAGGAGTAGGCATCGAGAAAGGTAGGGATCTCGTGGCCGGCCGTGGCATCGATCATGCGATCGATGTTAGGTAGTGAAAAAGAGTCTTTAGGGCATGCCTTGTTTAAATCCTTATAATCTACGCACATTCTAAGTTTGTTCCCCTTTTTAGGGACTACAACTACGTTGGCTAACCATTCGGGGTATTTTACCTCCCGAATAGACCCTATTTTAAGAAGTTTAGTTACCTCATCCTTTATGAATGCATGCTTCACCTCGGACTGGGGCCTCCTTTTTAGCTTTACTAGTTTGAACCTGGGGTCGATGTTTAGCCTGTGTGTTGTTATTTCCAGTGGGATCCCTGCCAGGTTTAGATGGGATCAAGCAAAATAATCCATATTATCGATAAAAAATTGAATGAGTTTTTTTCCTGAGTTCGGGGGTTAATCCTGTTCCCAGGTATAACTTTTTCTCGGGCATGTACTCGATCAGTATGACCTATTCCAGTTCCTCAATCGTTGACTTGGTTGCATCTGACTCTTCGAGAACAACGAAAGTTCGAGGAGTAAGGAAATCCTCTTCTTCTTCTTCGGTTACCTGTTCCTCCGATTTGGTTAATGATTGATATTTTGCCGTCTGCTTATCTTTGGTGATCACTTTTTTCGAGGTCGAAGGAACTGGTATCGGTGTTACCTCATCGACTACAAACATTTCCTTTGCAGCATGTTGTTCTCCGTAAACCATTTTCACACCATCCACTGTTGGGAATTTCATCATCTGATGAAGGGTTGAAGGTACTACCCTCATGTTGTGGATCCATGGCCTCCCAAGTAGTGCATTATATCTCAGGTTGCCTTCGATGACATGGAATTTTGTATCTTGGATGGTCCCGACCACGTTCACTGGTAGGATTATCTCCCACTTTGTTGTTTCGCTTGCCATATTGAAGCCATTTAGGACTTGAGATGCAAGTACAATTTGGTCCTGTAGGCCGAGCTGCTCTACGACCCTCGTTCTAATTATGTTTGCTGATCTACCTGGATCCACTAGAACACGTTTAATATGAACTTTATTTAACAAAATAGAAATTACCAGGGCGTCATTGTGCGATTAAGATATGCCTTTCGCTTTATCGTCATCGATTGATAGGACGCCTTTGAGCACATATCTCCGAGTCTATTTTTCTCTGGTGATCGATACCTTGGTGTGTTTGCATATAGGCCCTTGTGGAACATCAATACCGCCAACGATCATATGAATTACATGTTGCGGTTCTTCCTGCTCATTTTTTTCTGTTTGCATCTCTTTCCCTGAAGTGGTTCTTAGCTCAATCACTGAGAAACTCTCGGAGATGACCCTCGTTGAACAATCAAGCTACCTCCTCCCTCAGCTGCATGTAGTCTTTGGTCTTATGGCCATGTGTGCCATGATATTTACATATCAAGTTTCGATTCCTTTGAGAAGGATTGGTTTGTATAGGCGTGGGCCACCAGCTGTCTTTGATTCTTCCAATAGCTGACACAATCCCCGATGCATCTACACTAAAATTATACTCCGACAACCAAGGTGCCACGAGATCGGTGTGTTTATCAAAACCGTTCTCATTCATAAGTCCTCGAGAGCTTTGACCTCGATCATTTCTTCGATCGTTCTGAGGAGCGTTATGCTCCGAATAGTTGTTTCTCCGATCGACATATGGCTGATAGCGTTCCCTATTTGATCTTGGTTCCCTATCCGTATCCCTCGAGGACTTAACTGCCAATCTATTAGGATGAAGTGAATCCGAAGGGGCTCTAAACTGGTCGTCCTAGACCCTGATCTTTGATTGGTAATGATTATGTATGTTTAACCAAGTCACAACTGGGTACTCAATCGGATTATGCTTCAACTGTCGTGATGCGATCGAACTCCGATCATTCAACCCCTGCATAAAAGCTTGTATCTCCCAATCATCCGAGACCGGTGGTAATTCCATTCGCTCCATTTGAAATCGGGACACAAACTCCCTTAGTATCTCATCATTCCTCTGTCTTATCTTAAAAACGTCCAATTTCCTTGTCGCAACCTTTATGGTCCCGACATGTGCTTTCACAAAGGCGTCTGCTAACATAGCAAACGAATTGATAGAGTTCGGTGGCAAGTTGTGATACCAAATAAAGACTCCCTTTGAAAAAGTTTCCCCAAATATTTTCAACAATACTGACTCGATCTCATTATCATTTAAGTCATTTCCTTTAATCCCACAAGTGTATGAGATAATATGTTCATTAGGATCGGTTATCCTATTGTATTTGGGTATATCGGGCATACGAATTTTTTTAGGAATGGGCTTTGGAGCCGCACTCGGAGGGAATGGTTTTTGTATGAATTTCTTGGCATCCAAACCTTTCAAGACCGGGGGTGTCTCAGGTATTTGATCAACACGAGAGTTATAAGTCTCCACCTTTTTGTCATTACCCACAATTTTTTTCTCCCCAGACTTGATTCTCTTGGTGAGTTCCTCGAGCATCCTCATAATCGTGGGGTCAGTCCCCGAGCCATTACCGTTTGATCTCTCTGGAACCGGCTCAATACTTCGAGTGTTTTCTGGTTTGACTATACTTGGAGTTTTGTGCTTACTTTGAAGCTGAGCGATAGCAACCTGTTGAGCTTGAAGCATCTCAAATATTACTTGGAGGCTGATTCCCCCATCTCCTATACCTTATGTTCCTTGGCCACCAGATCGGGCTTCCTTGCGTATACTTCCTCCGGGATCTGCGCCTAAATCCGCATTCAAAGCAATGTGTGAACTGACATCAACTGGTTCTATATTTGGCACTTCCCCAGGATTAATCGGTGGTACACCGACCCCTACATTATTGTTTTCCCCATGGAATCCAAGACCATCGTCGCTGTGTACGGGTGCGTTTTGTGAGTTTGACATGCTTTAACCTGAGAACAAAAAATTCTTTATAAGAATAAGTGTGAAAATAACGTGTGTTATTAGAATCAATACTGAAATAACCACTATTATCTTTAGCCCAACGGTGGGCACCAAACTGTTTACCTCAAAAATACGAGTAACAATTAAACTTGTTAATAGTTTAAAAGATATGCGATTTAGTCCAATACTTATTAATAACCAAGAAATCTAACATATAAATGAAATAAGTGAGTGAAATCAAATCGGTATGCAAGCCCATCTCGACCTCGAGCTAAGGTGGCCTCGAGATAGGTCAAGAACAATAAAATAAGAACAATAAAGTTAAAGGACAATTCTAGTGAGCAATAAGCAAAAAAGTAAGAGGGTATATTCTTTTGGCAGTGATTGATGATTGTTACAAATGATTGGGGTCCCCTTTATATAATAAGAGAACCCTAAATAAGGTACATTTCTATTTACAGTAAGGAATCTTATTGGGACAACTATCTAACCGCCTAGTACGGATTAGTACTAACTCATACAAATCTATTCTGAAATTTACCCAATGATCTTGGGGACGTGGCGGGAATCTTGCTCATTCTGTTACAAATTTATACCGGCTCCATCTCGGGGTTGGTCATACTCGGCTTCGGTACTCATCGTGAACTTCGATCTTCGATCCTTATGTTCTGCCCTCGAACTCGAACTCGGTCCATACTGAGTTTATCCCTCGATGCGAGCCCTCTGTTCCTCGATATGAGCACTCGAGCCCACAAAATCGGAGGCACATGATTTTATCGTATACAATGTAAAAATATTAAATTTAAAACCCAGTCACTAACGATTGAAGTTTTGTTCTAAAATTCAGAACCCATAAGGTTAAAATCCTGGCTCCGCATCTGGTCGCAGAAGCAACAACCTTCCTGTTATTTTCGAAAAACTGTCGGTAATATCTTCCATCATATGTTTACACTAAGAATACAAGATACATGATTCACAAGCTCAATCCAGAATTGGCTGAAACAATCAGTTGTGCTTCTTAAAGTAACATTTGGTAAGAAATAGGTGAACAATATATATGTAGAAAATGAAATTTTAAGTCGTTTGCAATAAATAACAAATACACAAAGCCTGAGAAAAAGAATTTCTGGGTCCATCATCCTCAATTAACTATCAACATTCCAAGCACAATGCATAAAAGCAGCATGCAAAGAGGACGACATGTCCTCTCAATACAACATTTCACTCCCCTTCGCTCAAAACATAAACGATTAATGGTTTCAACTGATCAAGGTATACAATCACCCACCTACTCAAGAAAACAAGAATTGTTGGAACTTTAACAAAACAAATGTATTTCAATTTAAGAGCTTCTGCATATTAGAAAAACTCCATAGTTATTTATTTAGTGCAATTTGTCTTAGAGTTTCTTCTTCGCGGGTAGGGGGGAAGGGGGGATGTGGAAGTAAGGTCCAGTTACAAGTCGGAATGACAATGCTGCTTAAGGACCTTCAGCATATTAAATGTCTCTTCAGACTACTAGAGGGGCAGAGGGGTAGGCTTGAGGAAATTCATCTTGGAGGCCAGAAACAGTAGTGGATTTGCAACAACAGTTTTTCCAAGATCAAGCAAAAAGAACTGACATGATTGAGTTCCAATGTCATTTATTAAAAAAGAAAAGCAGGCAGTGGGGAGCCCCTGACCAGACTAAGATTCTCAAAATTTTATCCTTTTCTTAGTACTAAGTAGTAAGTACTAACATATCTGTTTTTCTAATAAATCCTAGAAAGGCCTATCATTTTCCTAAAATTACAAAAATGGAGAATTATTATTTTGAAGAAAAATGAAAACAATGGCTAGATAGACTTAAATCTTTTGGGCATTCCCATTTTTGGCACAATGATTTCTAAGCTCCCCAAGGAATTGTATACCAATATCCAAAAGTTCAATACGAAAGTAGTTCAAGATCAAAATATACCTTACAAGTCTAATCATACAAATGACGACACAGGATATTAGATAGGTTTCCCAAAAACTCATACCTATTAGTTATTGATAGGTTTAAGTTTAAGTTTCAATGATGACAATATTATCTTATATTATATTTACAGGACAAACAAAAAGGAAAGAATGAAGATGCTCAACAAGATTGCTACTGGATTCAAAATAGCAAGTAAGGAAAGAATGAAGGTGTTGTTACTGTATTAATGATCAATCAAAAGAAGCAGATTGACTCGTCCTCAATCAAGGGAACTCAGATTGCCAATCATGGATCCTCTAATTAAGAAGATCGTGCTCGTGAATTAAACTCTCCTGGCGTAAACATCTCCTTGAATTCAGCTGTGACAAGGAAGGTCACATTCGAATCTAGGCTAGTCAAATAGCAAGATTCGAAAAGGTACCCCTTGGGTCAAATCCCTTAATTAAAGATCTCGTGCCTCTGATTTCGCAAAAGACCCAACGACTCTTTTCTTTCCTATAAGAAGGGTGATCCTTCAAGAAGAAGTGTGCGCAACTACATACATTGTATTCTAAGTCTATCTATTTCTTAGTTCAAACACTACAATCATTAGTTATCAGTGTCTCAAAAAATAGAGAGATCTAGAACACAAAAGAGAGTTGTGTCAACCAAAGGTCATTGCTTTGGAATGTCAAGATCTGAATAAAACGTCCTATGATGAGCTTAGAGGTGATCTGATCACTTTTGAGAAAACTCATCTTGACAGACAAATTCAAGAGAAGAAAAAAATTGTTGCTTTTAAAGCAACTGTGGCTGAACTAGAAATTGAAGATGAAGAAGAAGGAGGAGAACCGGATGAAAATATTTCAATGCTCTCTCAAGTTGTGACCAGCATGATGAGAAGGAACTGAAACAATAAAAGAGGTAAGTCCAACTTCAAGAAATGAAGGGCGAGCAATGAAGCTAATAAAAATTATGGAAGATATTACGAATGTGGAAAGTTCGGTCATATTCAAGCTGAATGTCCGGAATTAAAGAAGAATCTTAGCAGAAACATGCAAAAGAAGAAAGCTTTTGGAGCATGGAGTGATGAGGATGAATCTGATCACGAGGAAATTGCTAATGTATGCTTCATGGCTCTAAGTGACAATGAAGAATCAGGGGAACTTGGCTAATGGGAGACAACAATGATGAGGAAGATGACCCAAGAGAACCTCGTTCAATGTCAGATGCAGGAACTAGTGAAGAACACCACAAGAAGAATAGAAAAGGAAAATAGTATCTCAACAGCGCATGTTCCAGATATATAACGGGTGACAAACAATTGTTCAAATCAGTCACCAATCTAGATGGAGGAACAGTTACATTTGGTGACAAATCAAAGGAAATGTTATTGATGTTGAAAAAGTTCCTTTAAGCTCAACATGTGATGGAGATGGAGTCTACTTAGTTGATGAACTTGGAAATAACCTTCTCAGTATCAGTCAACTGTGTGACAATAATTATGAGGTTCGTTTTAAAAAACATGGCTGGTTTATAGAAGACGAATAGGGTAATATCATTCTCTCAGGAAATAGGGACAGAAATGTGTATACTATCAAAAACCTAGAAAACTTTGGGGATCAAATTTGCCTTACTTCTATTATTGAAGATTTCTGGTTTTGGCATAGAAAACTTGGCCATGCAAGCATGCATACTATTCAAAAACTTTCCAAACATGATCTTGTTAGTGGTCTTCCAAAACTAGATTTTTCAAAAGATCATATCTGTGATGCATGTCAACTAGGAAAACAAACACGATCCTCTTTCAAAGTCAAAAACATTGTTTCTACCTCTAAACCTCTTCAATTGCTGCATATGGATTTATTTGGTCCTGAAGATGAGGAAATTTCTTATGAATCATCATTGACATCAACAGAATTATGACTTTTACTATTTTGTTCTACATCAAGAGTTTCGAATGCTGCATCTCCAACTCTTTCTTCAGCTTTAGTGGTAGCAATTAGGGTACCAGGTTACTCTTGAGAAGTGGAAGAGGATGTGGCATTTTCTTCACTTGCCTCATTCATCTGACTCATCATATCAGCCTTGCCATTTAAAGCATCAGATATTTCCCTTAGCACATGCATCACACACTATATGCTCCTTGAAATTTGAATTTGGCAGACCACGAACTAGGTCCTTCTTTAAGCAGCTCATATCACCAGCTTGTAGAGACTCAAAATCAACAACGTAGATATTCTTGTATCATTTTGTTACTAAGACCACTTCGCCAGTTACCAGATTAGTAACTCTTTATACTTTAGACAAGAACTCTACTTTGTTCCCTTCATCACAGATTTGAGAGACTTTCCAACCTTTCCGACACCGAGAATGTACCCCTTCTTTCATTTCCAGAGGATACATTCCCTCCCTGCAGGGCCTTCAGTGAAAGGAAATCATTTGTTCTTCCAGACATGAGCTTCGAGCAGTCGCTATCCATGTACCACTATTGACTGCTCCCTTTCACTGTTCCCTGCACACTAAATCAATGATTAGACTTAGGAACCCAAGCCAGCTTAGGTCCCTTATAATGATAGAACGGGAGGATAAAACTTCTTTTTGCCCATGCAGGCAACACATATTTTCCTTTCAGGGTACCAGGTTCCTCATC